GAGGCGACCCGAAAGATCACAGGCGAGTCCCCCAGCACCATCGCCAAGCGCATCGCTGGAAGATCATAAAGCAATAAAACTTACTAAACAAAAAATTCATAACACAAACACTATGGAAATGAACGCGGTATATCCTCTGCTAGGTCCAGAGCAAAACTCTACCTATACGTTAGAGATAAGAGAATAAAAAAAAAGAAAGCAAATTTTTTTTTAATTTTTATTTTATAATAATAACAATAATAATAATAAAATAATAATAACAAAAAAAGGAAGGAAAATGTTTAATTATTAGATATCTTCTCTCCCCTTTCTCTCCGTCAACTTTAACCAATGGGCCCCTCTTAAAATCTTTCCAATTACATCAAACAGTTTTAAGGGGATGCACAGCTAGTCTGTTTTACCGATCAAAACGATTATTATTTTGCACACTGGAGGGGGACCGCGTCCTAACCGATAGGCGAGGGACCTGCTAACCTAACTGGTAGGCGAAGGACCCGCGGAGAGGGGAAGGGGGATCCGCGGGGAAGAGAGAACGCGAAGGTACGATGCCGCGAGGAGGCGTGGGAGAAGGAAAGCGCGAGGCGTCCGCAATGTGTAAGAGAAGGATAGCGCTAATGATATTCTATGGGCGTGGGAGAAGGATAGCGCGAGGCGTCCATATGAGCGTAAGACAAGGATAGCGTTTGCATGCACGTTGGAGAGAGATGGCGCGAGGCATCCATATGAGCGTAAGACAAGGATAGCGTTTGCATGCACGTTGGAGAGAGATGGCGCGAGGCATCCATATGAGCGTAAGACAAGGATAGCGTTTGCATGCACGTTGGAGAGAGATGGCGCGAGGCATCCATATGAGCGTAAGACAAGGATAGCGTTTGCATGCACGTTGGAGAGAGATGGCGCGAGGCATGCACTTGGGAGAAGAGTAAAACAGAGCAGTAGATTAGTTGCGTGATGTCGCGATAGACAGAGCTGCAATCTTACATGACAAAGACAGACATAATCGTACTATCTTTGTCTCTTTTATGCGTGTGAGAGTAATATATATTTACGCACTAACATTATTGCAGTATCTTTTTTCTCTCGATCATACGCTCTGTTTCTTTCTAATCGCTCGCTCACTATGTACTACGTATCGCTTAGCTTCATGCTCCTCGCATATTTACTTACGCGTTCACTCGCTTCTCTCTCTCTCTCTCTCTCTCTGTCTCTCTCTCTCTCTATCTCTCTGTCTGTCTCTCTCTCTGTCTGTCTGTCTGTTTATCTCTCTCTCTCTGTCTGTCTCTCTGTCTGTCTGTCTGTCTGCCTGTCTCTCTCTCTCTCTCTGTCTGTCTGTCTGTCTCTCCCTCTGTCTGTCTTTCTTTGTCTGTCTTTCTTTGTCTGTCTTTCTTTGTCTGTCTCTCTCTCTCTGTCTGCCTGCCTCTCTCTCTGTCTTTCTCTGTCTGTCTCTCTCTGTCTGTCTGTCTCTCTGTCTGTCTCTCTCTCTGTCTGTCTGTCTCTCTGTCTGTCTCTCTCTCTCTGTCCGTCTGTCTGTCTGTTTGTCTGTCTCTCTGTCTGTCTCTCTCTCTGTCTGTCTTTCTCTGTCTGTCTCTCTCTCTGTCTCTCTGTCTCTCTCTCTGTCCGTCTGTCTGTCTGTTTATCTGTCTGTTTGTCTGTCTGTCTGTCTTTCTCTGTCTGTCTCTCTCTCTGTCTGTCTGTCTCTCCGTCTGTCTGTCTGTCTCTCTCTCTGTCTCTCTGTCTGTCTGTCTGTCTTTCTCTCTTTCTGCTCGTTCATTATTGTATTCCTTTATTCCCATTATTATATTCTTTTATTTGCTCAACTTTTATTCTTTCTATTCTCGTCTCCCTACATAAAAAGGAATTAATTTATTAATTTATTTTTATTTTATACAACATAAATGAGATACACACTAACTTATTTTCTTTTTCTATTTAACTATAATTAAATACAACACATGTACATACAAAAATACACATAATTAAATACTTTTTTTATTTATAAGATACACAATATCTTATTTATATTCTATAAAATAAAGATGACTAAATTAATGTTTAAATTAATAATAATTATTATGTAGGAAGACAAGAATAAAAAAAATAAAAGTTAAATAAATAAAAGAATATAATAATGGGGATAAAAGAATACAATAAAAAACGAGCAGAGAGAGAGGGGGAGAGAGAGAGAGAGAGAGGGGCAGGAGGGGGGAGAGAGAGGGAGAGAGAGAGAGAGAGAGAAGCGCGAGTAAACACATAAGTAAATATGCGAGAAGCATGAAGCTAAACGATACGTAGTACATAGTGAGCGAGCGATTAGAAAGAGACAAAGCGTATGATCGACAGAGAATAGATACTGCAATAATGTTAGTGCGTACATGTATATTACTCTCACACGCATGAAAGAGACAAAGATAGTACGATTATGTCTGTCCTTGTCATGTAAGATTGCAGCTCTGTCTATCGCGACATCACGCAACTATCTACTGCTCTGTTTTACTCTTGAGCTTCGATCTCGCACACATACATGTGCACGAAAGTTTTGCATAGTAAAATCTTTTTTATAAAGCTTCTAAACTCACTTCTCAAAGTTTGATTTGTTGATATCTATAATCAACAAAAATATTTTGCACGTTAACTAATATTCACGTTTTTATTGGTAAGACAGACCTTTTAGAATCCCCTTAAGTACTTTTTGAGTTATTTTATATTTTAATCTCTTTTTTTGTTTTGTTGACGAGGGGGAAATGCTTTTACGCATACCCCGCAGAGCTGGTGTTGCTCCGCGGGGTTATGTGGGATTTGCCCTGGATTTGGCTTCCAGGACAAGTCGGTTAGGGAAAGTGTCCATGTTTCACTCGCAGCACTATGATGGACACTCCTCCCGCTACCTATTACACCTCGTGGGGAAGGCTGTTAATACCCTCTCCATCGTCCCAATGAAGACGCCTCTCTAACTTCGGTGAAGTAGGACACCTTTACCTTGCCGCGCCCCCTTGATGGTGTTGGGGCCGGATTCGGGACCCGGGTTAACGCCCCCCGGGCCCAAACCCCCAGCCCCTCGAGTGGAGCCGCTTTTACTGCGACTCTCCGGGTGACATCTCCCCTTCTCTCCTCGGAATGGGGAAAGGAAAAGGGAAGGAAATAGATGGGAACAAACTTGTAACGGTTCATCTTTTCCGACGCCGCGGATCAGGCTCGCCGGTGCCAGGATTCGGGAGAAGGGGGAAACTTTAACTCACTCTTCCTCGGTATAAATAAACGATGATTTATTAAGCAGTGATTTAAAGACTTAACACTTAAAGCTATTTACATTGAAAACGTGCGAGAGCGGTGCATACAAAGGTTCGCAGAAGCGATGTTATATTAGCGGTCGCGTCCAAGGCTCGGGAAGCGAGCGCAGCACATGCAGACGATGCTGAGATATTATGCGGTCGCGGCGTTAACATGCAAGCAACAAGACGGATCTTAACTATTACGGGGTGTCGCGTGGCCTTTGGTGTGGTTCCAACTGACTGTTCGCCTTATCTTTAAAAGGACGGGGCGTCAGTACTTTCGGCGATTTATCTTTAGAAGGACTAGCGCGCTATGGTAGTATGATGGCCGTGCGTAAAAGCGAAGTGGGCGCGGAAATGGCGGAAATCTCTATCTGGTTAGCTAACACTATAATTAGAAGGTTCGATCTGGTGTATATATATAAAGCGGTCTTACGATTTAACTAGACGCAGTGAACAAACTGGTCTTACGGTCTAACTGGTCGCGATATATATAAAGCGGTCTTACGATCTATCTGGACGCGGAGACCAAAGCAATCTTACGGTATAACTGGTCGCAGTATATACAAGCGGTCTTGTGGTCTAACTGGACGCGGAGAACGCGGTACGGTCTTACAAGTTAGCAGGATGCGCCGTCCCAGCAACCGGGAACCTGGCATAACCACGGGTATCCCGTAACCTGGTTTAACGCGGGGTATCAGAATGCGCCGTCCCAGCAACCGGGTAGCCCGGCGTAACTACGGGAAGTCCGTAGCCTGGTGTAACGCGAGAGTTGGTTTCGGATCAGGAGTTATGTGTGATAGGACTCGGGATCGGGAACTGGTAACGCTACGCTCGCCGGACCGCCTTATATATCGGCGACCGGCCTACCACTCACGCGATTCGGCACGTGGTGGGGCGGTCCCCACGGTGGGGCCGCGACACGGGTGTGGGAGCTTAGGGACGCCATAAGCGCCGAACCTCGAAAAGCGCGCGGTGAATCGGCCTGCGAGGCCTTTAGTAACGGTATTGTTACAAACTTACCCCCTCCCCCTTACTTTGCTCTTTCCTCTGCGACGTCTTTTGGGGAGGGGAAAGGTGACGAATTAATCATCGTCACTGCTTACCCCTCCCCGACGCCGTCATCCTACCCCCCTGGCTTGGGGTGCGGGATTGGGAGATGTCGAGCGCCCTCTACGGCGGCGCAGGTTCTGCCGAAGTTGACGTCTGCCTCTCCTTTGATCTCTGTGCTGAGAAGGGGGATCCCGGACCACCTGTCCTCTTCTCTCCCTCTCAGCCGCTTCCTTCTGCTTCATTACCTCTTCGCAGAAGGAGGCAAAGACCTTTCACACGTTCTCACTTTCCACCATAGTATTGATTATGGTGGGAAGTGAGAGGTCCTGTCCTATGGTGTCTGTAAGGACACGCTGGACAATGCTCCAGCGTATGCTGCGCCGTGTCCCTCTCCTCCTCGCAGTAGTGGCATTGTGTTGTGCGTTCCTTGCCTATGCGGCACAGGTACTCACCGAAGTATCCGTGTCCGGTGAGTATCTGTGTCATCCTAAAGGATACCCCGCCCCGGACCCTGTCTACCCATTCCTGGAGACAGGGCCGGACAGCCGAGACGGTCCTTTGTCCCGCCATTCTTGGGTCCTCAAGACTGGTCTTTCAATCTTCTAACAAGGACCGCCGTACTTGGAGCTTCAGGATCTTTCTAATCCTGGGGGTCAATGCAACTCCCCTGTACTGGAGCTACCGTTCTTGTGCATACATATCGGCGTATGCTTTCGCCTGGAGCTCCAGTGGGGGAAGAGCCGCCAGGATTCCTGCCGCCACTCCGGACACTGTGCGGTTGCCGCGGGCGACTCTAATGGCCATTCGATGCTGTGGCTGGCGTATTATTTGTCGAAAGCGCCAGTCGGCCATCATGCTGCCCGCAAAGACAGGAACCCCGTAAAGGACGACCGCCTGCACAGTGCCGGCAAAAATTTTTCTAACTCTCCCGTCAGGGCCTCCCAGATTGGGAAGCAGACGACTTAAAGACGCAACTACTCTGCCCAATCTGGGGGCCAGACGAGAAAAGTGCTCCCTGAAACTCCAACGGCCGTCCAGTGTGAGGCCCAAGTATTTCATATGGGCCCCTACCGGGATCGGGGTATCCTCCACCCATACCCTGTGCTCAAGGGGGCGCCCCATGAGAACCGTCGTGAAAGTACACGGCCTCAGTCTTTTGGGGCGCTACCCTCAAGCCTAGCTTCTTGATGAAACGCACAACACACGCCAACGGTAGGTTCGCTCTCCTCCTCGCTTCCACCCAGTTTTCTCCCCCGGCTATGACCAGTGTGTCGTCCGCATAACATACTGTGGCGGAACAGCAGGGAGGGAGGGCAGTGCGGAGCATCCTATCGTATGCAAGATTCCACAAGAGAGGGGTAGGGTGTTAGGGCCGATTTCGAGCCACCTTTTTCCATTGGTGCAAGAAAGAAGTCCGTGAGAGAGAAGGAGACGGAGATACGCCTAGAAAGAGATAGAAAGATATCCGAGAGGTGAGGAAGTGTGTCGGGGGAGGGGGAAGAACAGGGAGGTACGTATGGCGAGGGGGGTATCGCGGCCGGTGGGAAAGCTGTGCAAAGGGGGATGAGAGGTCGCGGGGGAGTGAGCGGGTACGGGATGACGAGATCGGCCTGGAGATGACGCTCGGGTTCGATCGGGGATCGCGGGGGAGCGAACAGGTATGGGGTGACGAAATCGGCCGGGAGATGACGCTTGGGGTCGATCGGGCGGTAAAGGTTTGTTGCGCGACTCGTCTCCTGGAGAAGGCGACGGCGATTCCTCGCGCCGTTTCTAGCGCGCGATCCGTAATCGCGATTCTTTAGAGACGCGTGCCGCTTTTAGCGCGCGATCCGCGAACGGACGCCGGGTATCCGGCGTCGAGCGAGATGGGGGATCGTCAAAGGGCGGTCAAACGGAGAGAGGAGCGCCCTCGTCCGTTTCCTCTTTTCGCGACGCGTGTTAGCGGCGAAACGAGCGCGCTTATCGCGTGGATCGTTGAAAAGTCGTAGAATAAAGAGAGATTGTTGTTCTCGCGAGAGAAGAAGAGCATTTTTTATTGTTTTTTTTTTACAATATTTCGATATATATATATATAATACAATATTTCGATATATATTAATAATACAATAATACGAGTACGCGGATAAGCGTATCACGATTCCCCGAAGAGCAGAGCCTGCAGCTCGCAATCGATCAGATCGTTGCGGTCGAAGTTCTTGCTCTTGCGTATTATCGTTGGAATAAGCGCCGGATCGTGAGCGCCGGCCGCGATGTCGAGGAAACGAGTCAGCTTGTTATTGATGTGTGCGGTTAAACCGTTTAAAGATACAACGATGCGGTTGACGCAAAGCTCCAGATTCAATATATTTAGGACAGTGCCTTTCGATACAGCCAGACGAACTTTGGGCGTTTCGAGACGGAGTATTCGGAGATCGTTGAGTTTGCCGAATCGCAGCGTCAACTGTTCGATGTATATCGGCGCCAGAGGGCGCGTCTCGTCGTGCTCTCGTCGGAGCGAAAGTACGACAGAAGCGTGGATCGTAGATTGAGCAGTTCCTTCCACGTATTCGGCGTTAGCGAGATCTCTTTGCCGTGACAATCTCCGAGGACGATTTCCACGAAAGAGGGTCGGCTGACGTTAACGTTGACCTCGAGATGTTTGTACGCAGTTTTGGTCAATGGGTAGCGTCTTCTCAAGATTCTGAGCGGTCGCCTGACCGAGGCGTCTGCGTCGCGTCTTGGCGTCCGGTCGCGGTCTCGCCTGAAAGTAGACGCGGGCGATGAGAGAAACGGCGCTAGTAGATTATTAGTTCGAATAAGCGTTTAATAGTCTTACTCATTTTCCGGTCTAGCTCGCTTAGCGTATCCCGCGTTATCCTTGCGGTTTCGCTCGGCTAGCCTCGATCGATCGTCGAACGAGTGCTGCTGTTGCATTGTCACGTACATCGTCGTTTGTTCTTTCTCATTCTTTCTGGTTCTTTCTTGTTCGTAGGCTTCGGCGCTCGAAGACTTCGGTGTTCGCCAATGAAGCGCTTAACGGATGGATGGTCTTTGTATACTCGCGTAGAGATCGTCCTCCTCCCTTTCGCGTGCGTTCTCCCTTATATTCTATTTTTTAAAATGACGGTGGGGTCGCTCTAGTCGTCCTCCTCGTCGATCCCCTCGCTTTCGGTTACGTCACCGAGACGATAGACGCGACTGAGGAGATCGCGCAATTGTCTTAACAGCCCGTTCGTAGGATACTCGATACCGAGCGCGTGTAGGTCGAAAGGACCCGCCGAGGTCACGATATTCGTGAATTCGTTGAAGGCGTAGAACTGACGTTTGGCAAAGAAATATAGGTTACCATCGATGTATTGGAAGGCTAACGTTATCGCGGGCGATATTCCAGGAAATACATCCTTCAACGGAGCGTGTCTAACGGCTATCATGCGACACTCGTCGATCTCCGCTACCTTGTCGTCGTCGTAGATTGCGTAAGTTCGTCACGTGTGCGTGTTTATCGCGGTGTTGATCTTAGCGTCTTGGGGAAGTCCGATATTGTGGAGATATCTCGGCCAACCCGATTTTAGCTTAAAGTTGGGATATTCCGCGAGGTAGATCGAATCGCTCGCGAATAGCACGAGATCGCCCGAGGGTCTTCGATACGCGGCGGATAGGCGCGTAAAATTCGCCGGGAGAAACGGTGCGTAATCCGTGAGCGTCATAGGTCTACCATAGCGTCTCTCGGTCACGCCGACCGACCATACGTTGCAGCAATTAGCTATGTACAATCGGCGATTCATTATCAGCGCCACGTCCACGCGCCGCAACGCACAAAGATCCGCGCGCGCGGGATCGGTCGGCGCGACGCGGTGGTCGCGGGAATCGCCGTCGGATAGTTTTTGTCGTCGTGAGACCCGTACAGATTCTGTATAGCAAGGACGTCCTCTATGCTCAGCTTAACCGGAAATTGATTCTCGATGTCAGGTATATACGGGAACATTATCGAGTCGTTGCGCATGTTGTGCTGTAGAGCCAACGCGTGGCCGATCTCGTGCGTCAGCGTTTGCAGCAGATAATGCGTATCGGGAGGATTCTTGTTTAGATACACGTGCCACGGTTTCGAATCGTCGACGTGTACCTCCGACGCGAAGTCGGTCGCTCCCGAGGGAAAGAACGCGTGAGCTAGGGCTCCTCCCGGACCATTGAAGGTCGCCGGGCAAACGCCGACGTTCCGGCGATTCGCGTAAGTGTGCGCGCCCATTTGATACGATATCAGTATATTGGGGCGTAGCGGGTCGCGCGCGAACGTTAGCGACGAATTCGCCGCCCATAACGCGAACGCCGCTTCGGCCGTTCGCAAGAGTTCCTCGCTAGCCACCTGAAAGTTCCACGTGAGACGCGTTTTCGGCCATTTTCGCGCGATCGGGAATGTCCGCGAGACCGCATCGCGATTTGCGCATAAGGCGAAGCGTAACGGTGTCTAACGCGCCATTTCCCGACAATTGATAGTATTTCTGAAATAGCGACAGCGCGTGACGCAGAGATGTCGCGTTATCGGACAGCGATCCCCCTTGTCCTTCAGAAAACCGTACGCGCGCAGGAAGCGGAGCGCCTCGGTCTTCTCCGAGTCAACGGGCGTCGCGGCCGTCGTGGCGACGAGCGTCGCCGCTAGGATGGGAAGAGCTATCCTCGCGTTAGTCATCACGCGGAGCGGAGGGAGAAATGAGGGGAACTACCGAAGGACACCGGACGCGATTGATTCGCGCGTTCGGCGAGACGTCTATTTTTATCGTCGACGAATTCGACGCGGGTGGGGGAGAAGGGGAAATGTGTCGACGATTCGTTCGAAGGAGAGTCGCGGTTCGCCTCGATTAGAGGAACGCACTCCGATGACGAATAAACGCTGGTCGAGCGTCCGGGATGCGCGTTATCTAGCGGATGTTCGAGTTCCTCTTATCGTTTTACTTTTTTATTATTTCTATTTTTATTATTCGTTTATCCCCTAAGGATACTCGGTAAACGATTAGAGAAACGTACCCCTTCCGGCGACGATAAACATTCGCCGAGTATCCGAGATGCGCGTTATCTAGTGGGCGCTTGAGTCCCTCTTATGGTTGTATTTTTTATTATTTTCCTCTATAATCTATTTTTATTAGTTTTCTCTATAATATATTTTTATTATTCGTTCGTCTCTGCTCAGGTCGAGCGATTAGAGGAACAATTGCGGCGAGCGACAATCGCGGAAGGAAGATGCGGTTCGAGTCGCGTCGCGATCTTCGATAAGGCGAAAAAAGCCTATCGAGGAAACCCGACGATCGATAAATCGTACCGCGACATCCGCGCGTCGATCCTTATAAACGCGAGATCGTTTCGAGAAGCGCCAAAGTATTCTCGCTCGGGAGATAGCGAAGTGACGAAACGACGAAGCGCGAAACGGCAAAGTGCAAAGTGGCGAGATGCGAAATAGCGAGAATTAAGATCGGTCGCGAACTGTTCGATATGGAACGAATCAAGCAGATACTTAACGCGGCTGATCACATTAATGTAAACGGGGATTTAATCGCGATAAAGTCCTACGTTCTGGGAAATCTCGTCTCGGATCTGCGCGAGGAGGCGCGAGGCGTTATCGAGAACAGTCCGGATTCGTTCAGATTCGCCTTTCAGTTGGATGGAGACGCCGATATCACGCGTTTAATGTAAGTATTCGATCAGGATTTTTATAATACATTTTATAATACTTTTTATAATAAATTATAATTTTTTTAATAACTCTTTTACTTTTTTATTTTAGACAACAGATGGAGGACTGTATAAGAACGGCGCAAGAATCGCTCTACGATCTCGTGACGAGGATGAGGACTATGCTCGCGCAAGCGCAAAGCGTTCACAGCGCGTTGCGCGACGCTCGCGGACGCGACGCCTCCGAGGACGCCGCGCGAGCCCCCGAGCCGTCCGAGTTTCGCGGGCGCAACCTCGTCGCCCCTGAGTTGATCGACCAGCTTCACGGGCGCAATGTCGATGTTAGGCGAATCGTCGCGCCGCCGATCGACGAGGAGCCCGAATCGCGGCCGATCGACGAGACGCCCGAATCGCGGCCGATCGACGAGGAGCTGGAATCGCAGCCGATGGAGGACGAGGCCGAACCGTCGACGGTTGAA